AAAATGTGATAACAGGGGAGAAATGTCTGCATTACCTTAAATATAATTTTAATTAAAAAATTAATATAAAATATATTGTACTCCTTTAGAAATATATATGAAACATACATTGACATCACCATTAGAATATAGAATTCAATTTGTATAAATCACATCTAATTGTGTGCTTAAAAAAATGTATATTAAGATGAATGGACATAATATAAACACACAAAAAATACTATTAAAACAAAAATTATTGCCATACACAATTAAGTCTGGACTAGACAACTTTGCCTTTAATAGTGGTTGTTGTGTTTATCATAAACAAAATTTTTATTTTAATATGTTTCTGTTAGTCTATTAATTGTTTTAATTTTTAGTTTATGTGGACAGTCATTTTAATTTTCTAATTTTGGTTTTGCTTACTGACCAATCGGTCATATTTTCATGATCACATGCACACTGGTTTTTGGCGCAATGGGAATGGTTTGTTTCCCCGAACTTGAGGTCAAGGGTTTGATCCTTTGCTGTGCATTCCACTTGTGTCCTTGAGCAAAACAGTTTATCTACATTGCTTCAGTCTACCCAGCTCTCAATGGGTTCAGCAAATTACTGGGAGTAGCCTGCGTTGGACCAGCATCCCACCAAGGGGAACATCACACCCTCATCTGCTTTACACTACAGAAACTGGGGATAAGCTCCAGCCCCATGAGCCCTAGTGGCTCGGCAAGGATTTACTTACTCTGGTTTTGTCCCGGGGATGTCACTTGTATACCAACCTTACGGAGGGTGCAGCAGCCCTCCCAGACATGAGACACTTGCGCTACCTAAATTATTAGGGACCATTTACCAAAATCCGGTGTCGGTTGAACTACTATTACGGCCATGAAACCTACCAAATTAAACTTTCACTGGTTCCCGATAGTGAATAAGACCGCGATTCTGTCTGTTCGTGATCCCTACTGTTCGCGATCCCTACTGTTCATGGCTATGTATCAACGGTAGGTTTAGCACAGAGGTTAGGAAAAAATCTTCGCTAAAATCGTGTGAAAATTATCCTACTTTGATACGGGACGGAGCAAGGAATTTAACTACCAATTTTAATACCTAGGTATTTCCCACACTTGTGTTACCAAGTCCTCTCTAAATATACCCATACACGCTGAAACACTTCCATAAACTCCCACACTTGTGCTACCAAGTCCTCAAAAATACCGTAAATGCAGCACCTATCCATATAGAAATATTTAAGAGTGAGCCCCCCGGGGGTTTTGTTACCTTTCATTCTAAACAAATTTTTATTCTTGAACCAACTGAAAGAAACTAATACTCACAGGAATTCTTGTCAATGAAAAAAATATCAGTTGAATAGACTAATCAAATTAGCTTCATTTTATTTTTTTATTCAATACACATTGTTTAAGTCTTCATAATTATTCTATGATTATACTTTTTGTTTATGAAAATCAAGTATTACATTACAGTGTAATTAGAATTAGGATGTAATACAAGATACAAGATTCTTTTATTCTCACTCTGTAAAAACATTTACAAGTATAATTTGTTTTGCTACAAATACAATAAATAATTAATACACAAGTTAATAAAAAATATAAGATAAGATAAATAAACTACACAAATGTAACAAAAGGTAAATTGCAAAGTTGTGATACTATCAGGATTGCTAAATATGCTTGGCACCGTCAAATCAGCTCTAACTAAAAATAAATAAAATAATACTTATTAAATAAAACTTAAAAGTATTCTGCAGTGAAATAACTAATCACAGAAACCACACTAGTGCAACTTCTCTAGATTAGAATATGTGACCCAATTCCAGCCCTCCATAGCAGTACATTGACCAGCGCTTCAATCATTCAAGTTATTAGAATTAGCATAAATGAAAGTAAACCTTCTGTTAGCCCTCCCCCTGCTGTTCTCATAACTCCCATACTATACATACCACATTGACAATCCAAGGATGCGTAAGTTGGTGGAAGTGTATCCATGTTTTTAATAGTTCACCTCATTTGTAAACTTAATTACCATACTTCCTCTGGTATAAGCCCACACTTTTTGGGGGAGGGGGAGGGGGAGGTGTGGACCTATACCAGGGGAATTCCTTTTTAATCAAGTGGTAATTTTTTGGTACTGTATGCCTAATTCAAAGACAATATTTGATGTTTTTTTCTGAGAATTTTAAAATTAATACCATGGGCTTTTGCCCGTGGAAAGATTGGTATATAAAATTGAGCATAAATTAGGTGGTGAAGTGGGGTTATCAGTGGTGGTGCCAGTGGGGGAAAATTCCCTTCCCCCCCCCCCCCAGCACGACTAGGTCGTCGGATAAAAAAATTAATTAAAAAAAAAAAAATCAAAATTTGCCTATCCAGATAATGTTATTTTGACTGTCAATCCCTAATATTGTGGTCTAAGCATATTTTGGACCATACTAAGCCATAAAAACTTCATCGTGGAAGGCCGTTGACAGGCTCCGTTTGCCAATTGGCTCGGACACCTCCGTCAGACTTGTTGGCAAATTTTCACCACCACTGGGGGTTACCCCCAAGGAATGTGGTAGTATTACAGAAACTAGTTATGTAGCCCTTTTTCATATAGTGGGTATTTTATCCACAGCTCATTTGTCATTAATTTGTTCAAGATATTCTCAAAATAAAGTTCAACAAAGATAAGCTAAAATAATTATGACATCTGTTATTAATTATTTATAGAGATAATGTCTTGACGTTAAAGCATCATTTTTCAGTGGTATGATTTACCAGCTCTGAAGTTCTTTTGGACTGGTGTCCCCTTTAAATGTTGTTTCTTAATTCTGTAGTAAATCATATGGCATAGTTCGTGGTCTTTTCTTCAGGGCACAAGGAAGACCAGATGTACCCCAGAGGTGCTACTTGATTGTCAGTCCAAAATAAGGGTCTCACAATTTCCTGCATCTCAAGATGCGAAGGCATGGCGGAGGTCCAGGACAAGTCCAAAAATTTTACAAAAAAAAAAAAAGGTTTCTTCTGACTAATTGTTTATCGTTTTTAGAAAATTGCTGATATGTACAAAGTGATATTGCGGGAATGTGATCTGTTTTTATTTCGCACTGTAACAGGGATATATTACTACAGTAGGTGAAATATCACATAACCCCAATATTGTGGCTGCGGTTACGGTAAAGTTCTGGACTTTAATACAGAAGACATTGTTGGCAATATAGGCATAGCCAGCGAACCGTCCAGCCGTCCTTTGGACGGCCTACAATTATTTAGGACGGCCACTTTTACCGTGACGGCTTGGACGGCTTGGCCTAATCAGCTGAGCCTCCTAATTGGGCCTGGTCTACCTTTAGCAAATTCTTCAAATCTATCGAATGTTACATTAAACTAAAGCTAAATCATGTTTACATTTGATAAAAACAACATTTATTGATTGAATGTACGTTGTTTTCGTACATTTGATGGGGATTCCCATGGGCATGGTGTGAGCGTGGTCCACCCATCGGCTCAGTGCCACACCCACTGGCTTCCATTTTGGATAGCCGATATCGTTTTTCTGGCTAAACCCCTGGTTAGCAATTTTGCGGTAATGTACAGTAGCTCTGTCTGAAATGGCTTAAGATTAATGTCGGTACATGTGCAATCTTGATATATCACATCAAGACTGTCTTATCTCAAGATTCTGCAAATGGTGTCGGTTAGGTTACCAACATCCTGACCTGCTAATATTTGATACTGAGGGGGTAAGATATCATACAACAGTTGTATATACCATCTTGTGTTTACTCAAGGTCAGAGGTAATGACACCTGGTTATTGTGTTCAATATTGCAAACTGGAGAATATTTTCAACATAGAAATGTGTGCAATTCCACTCTTGCCCACCAAAGTTTTAGCCAGAAAGGACAAGAAGATATTTAAATATACTGTAATATGAGGCTGGCCATCTCAAAACAAGCTTCAGTGAAAAGAAAATTGACTATTGATATATTCATTATTCGGCCCCAATAAAAAAATCATTAGTTTATCAGTCACACTATCAAAGAATAAAAACTGATGAGGGAGGGAGGTTTTTTTTTTGTTTTTTTTTGTTATCCACACCCCCATTTTACCGATGTTCACAAGAAATCAATGGTTAGGGACACATATATAAAAAGTCATAAGAATGGAATCAATTTTATATTTAAAAATTGAAAAAAAAATTGACTTTAAATATATTAAGTATATAAGAATATATAAAAAGACCATCAAATACATAAATTAAACTATACAATGGTATTAGAGGGAGGTCAGGGAGGTACTTTCACCCAAAAATTATGATTATGGCACCATTAGATGGCCAGAAATGGAGAACAGTGTAACATACTATTATTAGTAGGTAGTTTTCGCTGCACAACATTAACCTTAATGTTAACGGATGACATCATAATTTATTCATTACTTATTCATCTTGCATGTTAATTTCAGGATTTTACGTGCTCGACGTACGTTATTTATGGGTTTGCGCGTGCGTATTTTGATTTGTTTACAAAAGGGGTGGAGCTATCGTGCTGCACGTTGGGTACTAATGTTAAAGTTGAGGTTAACGTTGTGCGGCGAAAACTACCTATTCTACTATTGTTCATATTAATATTGTTTATTGGGGTTTTATTTACAGTATTCACTATATTGCAATATATCTACCAGTAGTCAAAAAATAAATATGTAAATATATCACATGAAAGTATGATGATACTCCCCACTGATGATAATTAAAGATGATAATAAATATTTTGAGAAAAACATATTTTCCTATTAAGATTCCAACCAAAGACCACTCGGTAATATGATGTTTTTCTATTAGTTGTATTTAATTGTTAAATTGTTTAATGTTATTTTGTGAAGTAATTTTGATGAATAAAGAATTTATTGAATGATTGAATATTTGGTTGATTGATTGATTGGTTATTTGATGAATTAATTACCCTGTCTTCCATGTCTACTAATATATGAATATACATTTTTCATTTTTTGACAGTAATTGTTCAGGTTTGTTGTAAAATGAAGAATGATGATTTAGTGTGTGGACTTATCAACCAGGTCACATCTCAGGTAAATAACTGTAATTAAAAGTTGTTCATAAAATTCTGACAAGAACTTAAAGAGTGCTGTGAGGTATTGTTCATGCTTCTTGCACTTTGGCCCCTATTTCAAACCTGGCCAGTAGGAAGCTTTCGTTTTGTGCGATGAGGCAACGCTAGAAAGGATTCACTAATGCTTGACCGTCCTACTGGGTGCCATACGTTCTCTGCATACGTAGACTTGGCCAAATTGCGTCCTTGATTCCACGCGACCATGAGAACCCAACATTCTCACATGTGCAGATGACTTTATGGGATGTCATTATGTTCTACGTCTTACCGTCGGTGTGCAATCGACAGCTCCCTCCTGTCAAGTTTAGTCTCCAACATTAAATTTCATGTAAAAAGTACTTGAGATTTATCCTTTTATGGGACATGATATTACTGTACATCATCATCTGTAATGGATGTGATCATATTATTATAGTCAATTTGCAAAGATTTTTTTACATAAAACTTTTATTGTATGCTTTTTTTTGTTGATAAAAAACACAATTTATAAGAACAATGAGTCTGAAATCGCTTCAAAATTAAGAACAAAATAAGAACAATTTGAGGCTAAGGTGAAAAGTCAAAATGAGGTTGTTTTTTGAAAAAAAAAATAGAAAAACCAACAACCCTTAACTGTATCTTATTTGCAGTAGGTGTTCTAGTAATGATAATAATAATGATAATGATAATAATAATAATAATGTCATCTTATTAGGCGCACGTATCCATCTCTTGGTAGAGTTGCTCGCGGCACCGTTTTCCACCTGCAGAGTGTACATGTAGCCATTTTTCTACATTATTATTTTTGAATTAACTAATTTATTTTATTTTAATTATTTATTTCTTTTATGTAATAGCCTCTAAAATACAGTATATAGTGCTATAATAATAATTGTGTATATGTTTTGAAAGTGTGTAAATATAAGAACAATATAAGAACATTTTAAGCATGAAATTGGCAGAAAAATAAGAACACTGAGGGTGGGCAAAACTTTACTGGTTCATAAAAAAAAGGGTATGCATACTTAGAATGTAATAAGTAAAATGTATGGTGGTACCTTTCAGATAACCTAAATATATTACTCCTTTGTGTTAACCCTCTAGATACCGTCTTCGACTGTAGTCGAAATTGACCTCTAACCGAGAATTCCCATTTTCGACTGCAATCGAAATTTAGTGACTAAAAAATAGGTGGTTTTCAAATCGCTCTTCTGTTTTTATTTTAACTCCAATACGTCAGAAATTTTAAACACGCATGCGTGAAGCTTTCTTCTTTCGAAATCTGTGAAGAACTCACATGCGCTTATATAAAAATGTTTAGAAATATCAATTTGAAATCGTTATTAATTTTGAAAATTTTCCGAAATGGCCGCACAAGATGTGTACACAGCAGAGGAAGCGATTGACCTGATTTTTGATTCAGACAGCGATGAAAGTGAGTTTTTACATGTGCGAGACTTAGACGCGCCTGATAGCGATAATGACGGCGGGGCTTCAAGCAGTTCTGACGGCGGAGATGTTCTTGATGAAGATGAGCCTAGGCCTAGAAATGTGAGGGTGGTCGTTGCTTTTGAATGGAAAGATCGTGCTTGTAGTTATGGATGGTGGGTAAATAAATTATATAACTGTGTGGAATAGGAATGTTTTATATTTGTTTTTATTTATTTTTGGCTATAATTTATTTTTTTTTTTTTGGTTTTTGCTGACGATTTGTATGTAGCATTTTTCTGTCATTTCTATTATATTATATATATTATATTATATTATATTATGAATAAAAAATCCTAAACATATAAATTATACATCAAATGAAAGCTTATTCTATAAGCTTTCTTTGTTTTTAGAAACATTTTTCTGTATAATTTACAGAAAGTTCCCAAAAATCCACCAGAACGATGTATACTCAAAAAACGCAAAAAACCTAGTTACACTGCAAAAGAATCCGGTATTCAAGGGTTTGCACTACAAAAGAATCCGGTATCCAGAGGGTTAAGCTGATCTGTTCAGACAATCAAATTTTCTTTGACACAAATCTGTTGTATGCCCATATATGGTCATAGTATGCCCATATATGGTCATAGTATGCCTATATATGGTCATAGTATGCCTTTTATGGATCATTACAATATTTAAGCATGTCACATATTTTTGTCAAATAAAATCTGATAAAGTAGACAGGGCTTTAGGTAAGAAATTCCTCTATAATTATTTAAAAAAAGAACTAATGAAGTACATTGTGAAATAACCCATTCAAATTTGTGAATAGTACCACGATTCCATGAAACTATTTAAGCATAACTTGATGTTTATTAAGAGCTTAAAATGCAACTTAAATTTGTAAAGCCTTGGTCAAAAACTTTAAATTGAAATGTGCATAGTAATTTTCAAGGAAAAATGAAATGTCCTGTTTAGGTTTTTAATTTAATAGATGTTCAATTTTATTTATTGTTTATTTTCTTATCATCCTAAAAGTTAGGTTTGAATTCAAACAGTGATTTTTTTTTTGTGTGGTACCATCTTTCTGGCTAGGCCCTAATAGTAAACAGCTGAGCTATTAGATGTATTCAGCATTATTATAGGAAAATGATATTTAAAGGGCTAACATAGCCACTTTAACCATCCCGCTTGGCTGACATCTAATCTAATAATACCTGCTAGGCCCTAGACAGAGATTGATCATATGTTTCTCCTGTCTGTTATTTGATTAATACTGCCTGTGGCATGCGCCTCTCATCAAGATCTCTACTAGTGTGAAGGGCTTAGCTGGCACGAGCCACCCTGTGCCCATATATGGTCCTTACGAGTGCCTTACACCAACCATTCAATACTTCCAGGGATCCCCTCAGAAGATATGGACACTAAAGAATATTCAGTGCTTAAGATAGGCTAATATTTTATTTGTCATTAAATCAAAAAACATTAAGGTGCCTTTACAAACTTATACATACATAAAATCAAATTTAAATCTAATCTTTTCTTGCTTTTTATTTTTTGTCTTTTTTCATTGATTTCTTCCTATCATTGTCGAGCGCACTGAGATCTCTTATTTGCCCTATAAAAGTCTATGTACTGTTATTATTATTATTAGCTTTATTATTATTAATGATAATAAATAATAATTTATTCATTTATATTGTGCAAATTCCATTTTGTTTAAATGTGCATTACTATACAAAAGACACGGAAAACAAGTTTACAAAAAGTTAAAATTTGGAACTAAAATGGAGGAAGCAAATTGTCACTATTTAAAAATTAAGTCATATAAAATTATATATTTGCTTTTCATTTTTTGTCTTTTTTATTATTTTCTTACCTAGTATTGTCAAGCGCACAGAGATCTCTTATATTTGCGCTATATAAGTCTAGATGTATTGTTATTATTATTATTGTTATTTTTTTATTATTAATAATAATAAATAATAATTTATTCATTTATATTGTGCAAATTCCATTAAAACATGTTTAAATGTGCATTACAATAAAATAGACAAGGAAAACATGTTTACAAAAAAGTTAAAATTTGGAGCTAAAATGCAGGAAGCAAAATTATAACTATTTAAAAATTAAATTATATAAAATTTAATATATAAAATCGTATATTATTATAATTATTATATTATTTTATTTAAATTCAGTCAAGTTGCAACACAGAAAGCAATCAATAAAATTTAAATATAAGGAACATCACAAGCACATAAAATTCATAAAATCAGATCACAACAAGAAATTCAGGAAGCTAAAATGTTAACAGCATATTAAAATTCAGTTTAATTGCATGACACAAAAAGTTAAAAAAATAAATTTCAAGATTCAGTTAAGAAGGGAACATTGCATGCACGTTTAACCCTTTTGCTGCGTACCCCTGATAGTACCAGGGGCATGAAAATAATTCTTTTTAAAATTGTTCCTGTACTGCGGAGCCCTCTATAATTGTTTCTAGGAACTGGAGGTGATTTCTACTGAATTACATGGAGTAATGACTAATTGTTGCGAAAAACTCATCTTGCAGCGAATTTTTGAATTTTTTTTTTCACAATTCTGCCGACAAACATGGATTTTTGCATATTATTTTTTTAACAAATTTGAAATAATTCCTACGAAATATTATATTTCACAAGTGTCATTACTAGCAACGAAAAATATCATGTCGGCCATTTTTATGTGTGATAACAGAGCCTAAATCGAGGTAAGGCTAGGCCTAGCCTAGCAGCGTTGGATAGGCTAATGTTTTAGGCGCCTACAACATTTCTTCTCATGACCTATCGCAAAATCAAACATGAAAATACATTCGCATTTATCAAATTTCAGTCTTATTTCCCATTTTTTCATTCTTAGGAATGTCTAAATTCCGTTAAACTAGCAATTCCGTATTATATTTATAAATCTTTATAAATAACATTATACAAAAATTAGATTTTTCTTAACAACTGAAATTTTGCCGGGAATGGGGCTTTAAAGGGCTAAGGTGCAAAAGAGCTATGGCTATAGTACCTTTGTATGATCAGAAATGGCACTCTCATACTTAAATGTTAATGGTAGGCCTATAATTATCTTCCAAAAGGTTGGGAGGTGCAGGGGAGGGTTCCCCTTGGAAGGACATTGTGTAATAGGTATGTTGGAAACAAGCATTGATGTGACAGCTGTCTGATAGGTATGCTGTATGCCCAGGTTTTTATCATGTGAAAATTTTGCTTTCTCTTCATTTTTTTATATCCAAAAAATTAGTGGGTTGGGGGAGCCAACTGGGGAGCCAACTGGGCACCCTCTGGAAAGACATGATTTGTTTAATAAATATGTTGGAAACAGGCATAGATGTGCTAAAAATCTGATAGGGTATAAATCTGATAGGCCCAGGAAAAAAAAAAAAATGATTTTTCTCATTTTTTTAGTTTCCATTTTTTTATTTCCAAAAATTAGGGAGAGGAGGTGGGAGGGCCAACTTAGCCCCCTTGAAAGAAAATACATGTGATTTGTTTAATAGATATTTTGGAAATAGTCATAAATATGACAGCTAAAAAATTTATATCATGACAAAAATGTTAAAAATATTATCATTTTAGTATATCCTAAACCTTTGCTGTACTAATTGTTGCAGTGCCTTGAAGATTCAAGTTTTCAACACAGTCTGCCATCACTCAATCTGATTGGACGTTTGCTACAATCTATTCCTCCATTGGCAGATCTTCTTCAGCGGGCATACAGTAAGTCAATTATTTCATCTCAAACCATTTTGTTGTTTATTTGGCTTCCTATAGGAAGTCTATTGATACTCCTCAGTAGGACAGCCGATAGGCGATTTGACCGTTTTTTTACGCTTTTTTCGATTTTACTTCCACGTTTGCTTTCCGAAGTGCCACCTATCGTTCATAAACGTAACCACGTTCTAGCGTCGCTAAGCAAAAATACAGCAGATTTATCTATGTTCTCATTTACATATAAGGCCTGCCAATTACTTCCTTATATGGTAAAAACATTTCCAAATAAGTTTAGTTTCGGAACCAATCGGAGTTGTTTGGAAAAACCCACGTTAACACAAAGCATTTATCGATAGAAGTTGACGCATGTGAAATAGTGAAAATCTGGTATGGTTTGACAAGGCTTTTATTTACAATTTTCTCCATAGTCGGATTTGCGTCCCCGGGAATCAATATCTTTTTGAAGTGTTGATTTATCATGTTTAATCTTAGTTTAGTCAGGTAAGACCTGTCTCAAATCTGTTCAAAAATTGTTAATCGTACTTATAGGCCGTAAAATTAAACTAAATATTTTGAGCATGTGTGAGCACACGGTAGTCGTTGCTGAATGACATTGACTGCAGGCGCGGGCCACATGGTGGTGCGATGCATTGTTGTGCTAGCCTAGGAGTAGGCGTCTGACAGTGAAGGCAGACTGAGGCTTTGTTAGTTTAGGATAGACCATGTGTACTACTGTATTTATTTCCATCAAATTTCTATAATCATATTGATATTACCAGCCTAGCTAGCTAGCCAGGATTTATTTTAATGCTATAATAGGCATATGTGATGTCTATATAATATTTGATGAAACATACACAGTAGTAAGGATAGGGCCAGGCATAAGATTAGGAGACACAATAACACTACAGTAATTTTATTTATTCTATTTATTAAAATTGGGCATGTTCATATACAAAAATGCATGAAAATGAAGTACAAAAAAAACAAAAAAACAGACAGGCTAGCGGAATACCAAAAGAAAAATGGGCTTCTTAAAGCCTGGCACCAAAGAGAATTCTCTCAAAACCACTAACCTGTTAAAAAAAAAGACATAAAAAACAAGGTACAGCCTATATCACTAGTGTAGTGTGTTTCATAAAATATTATTTTGGTCATTGTGACTGAGATACAATAACAAAATAAAGTTGCTGTCGCAAGCACAATTTGATTCATGTTGTAATAATTTTAATTAATGACTCAAGGCTTTAGTGTTTGTAAAAAATACAAAAAGCATACCAATCTCTATATTATTGAATACTTTATATTTATGTAACCAATATATTTTATTTAATTTTATGCACACCAATTTCAGATTCTGTACAGATTTGCAGACAATGACGGTTATGAACGTGCAATGTTAAAAACTTTATAATGATGCTTAATGTTTCAACCATTGAACTCTAATCTACTCAGAATGACGCAAAAACAAAAACTTGCTTTAAAAAAAAAATAAAAACCACTGCAGCAGTGTTGTTATTGATTTAATTTTTTTAAATACAGGCTTTGCTTTGTTTATAAAGAACAAGTGTCTTCATTATTATTATTGCTATTATTACTTACAGAAGAAATAAGCAAACTAATTATGTTTAATGCTTATGCAAATATAAATAATTTCTTATTTTAGTCAGTTTTTAGTAAAGTACCAACCAGAAAATGAAATGTTGTCTACCTCAGTACTCTTGTTTCCAGCACTGTATCAAGGTTTGTGTTTATGTCAGTCTTGAAATAGGCTACCACAGTTATTGAAATAAATGTTCTGAAGGATATCATAATCAAATACAGTACCACCATGTATATTTATATTCCATAATAATTTAAAAGAGATAGGCTAGATGTGAATGTGTACTATGTAATAAAGTATTATTACTAAGTATTGTTATAAAAATGTTTTTTTATGTCCTAAAAATCGCATATATTGAGTGAAATTGTGAATGACAGGGTGAATCTGTGAAGCATGCATATGTACACTGGTCATTTAGCCAACAAGATACTGATTTCGGAAGCAATGGAGTCATTTTTAAAAAGGAAAATCGTCGCCGCATATTTACGGGTACGCTAATATGCTAGGCCCCCCCATGTGTCCCTTAGGCCTCAGCCTCGTATACGAATCAAATAGAGACAAACTGTAATATTGTCTATAAATTACTGAGTTAGAAGATTACATACTTAATAATATTTATTCTAAGGGTATATATTTATTTCATACAAATTAATTATTTGTGTAGCACACGGTCTTCGAAATGTTCTGTATATTACAATCTTCCTGTGTACGATCGCTGATATTTACAAAATGGAGTACATGCTAGTCTTCGAGTGCAACGAAATGGAGGCACCCTTAGTTTCCAGAGTCGGATTTGCGTCCCCAGGGCTCGATTTTTCATCTTAATATTTTTAATTATAAATTTTTACAGCAGGGATTTTATTAAATGCTTTACTGTTCAAAATTTTTTTGTATTTTGAATTCGCGAATTACTAAAACACAAACTTATAAAAATTGTGTACCACGAATTGTCTATTAAATTACTCCTTATGGTTTCGGTCCAAATACAACAAAAATATTTCACTATATTGTTAAACTATTTATAAACTTGTTTCATTATTATGTTTGTTTTGTTAAGTAAGTTACTTGATGAATTAACGTTTTTTTCAAACACCATCAAATTCTGAAAATTTGAACTAATTTTAAAAAATAGGGCGCCCTCTCCTAGGCGAAATTTATCATGATTTCTCCAGTGGCTTTCATACTGTCCTGTTGTTATGCCTACTGGCCTCTAGAGGGCCAAGACAACTCTATCACTTTGTAAGTAAACATACTGGCCTCTAGAGGGCCGAGACAATCTACCACTATGTAAGTAAACCTACTGACCTCTAGAGGGGCGAGACACAACTCTAGCACTATGTACCGGTAAGTAAACCTGGTTACCTCAGATTTCCAACAGTATTCAATCAAGAGCACTGTATGTACAATAGATACTGACAAAGGAAACATGTTGTCACTTTAATCTTGTCAGAAAACCTAAAAAAGTTATTTGCTTTATGGGAGAAAATAATGTAGGCCTACCAATCCTAAAAGGTCTGTCTAGAATAACAAAATTTCTTTGACAAAAAACGGATATTAGTCATAATATGCCTATATTATTAGGTCATGAATGATGTGATAATTATAATAATGCAATAAAACTTATAAAGCACCTATTAACGTTAAAAAATAACAAATTTCCACCGGCACTAAAAATGAAAAAAAAATGCTGCAGAAAAAAACAATAAAAGAACATATAACTTATAACAGATTAAGCCTAGTGAAAAATTATAAAAGTAGGTAGTTTTCAAACCAAGGGGCACTAACTATGTTCAGTAAGCACATGTGTGACACGTGTAACAACATGAAGCATGTTAGGATAAGCAGGACAAGTTGGACGAGAAGTAGTGTGGAGATGGACAAGCGAGGAAAGATACAAAGGTGCAGTCCATTGATGAAATTGAAAGTTTTAAGAAGGAACTTGAACTTCAGTCTTCAGCTGACAGAAAGCCACTGAAGGCGTGATATGAGAAAATTTCCTAGCCATATTGACAACACGGGTGGCAGAGTAAAGAAGTTGAAGATGCCTTGAATTACCAGAGGGACAAACCAAAAAGAAATGAGTTACAAAAATCAATCTTAGATGTAATAAATGCATGGACTAATGTCGCAGTAGCAGAAGATGTAAGATAGAAAATAAATTTTAGTTTTACACAAAAGATAAAAAAGTATTAGAAATGGAGACCATTTCTCATAGGGGATATCTCTAGTTTTTATTCTGTAGCCAAATATCACCTGGTATAAAGTAAAATGCATGATTGATATATAATACAAACAATATCTACTAACTATTTACTAAAAAAAAAAAAAATTCCCCCTACTCCCTCCCAAAAAAATAAAAAATTCAAGAATATTTTTTTTTCTTCAATATCATTTTTTATTGGGCCACTGGGCTCACTTGTTATGACAGTATGTGAGCTGTTGTGATAAAATGAGTCTTGTGGTACGAAAAATGAAATATAGACCTAATGGTATAGATAAAAGCATCATGAATTTATATACATATTTTACTTGTAGTACCAATGATTGTGTTAGTATGTAATTGTTGTAACTCAACCTTTTATTCTTGTTTTTTTACAAATGTTGCCAGATTATTTCCTCAGCAATATAGAGCTATTAACTATTTAATTACAATGTAATTTAGTAATTAAAAATGTTAACATTGTTTGGGATGTAGTTTGCTACTGCTACCCTTCTAGGTCTATTTGAGATTACAGCGATTCCACATAATGATTCATCAAAATCTATTGTTTTCATGAAGACACCATGTTTATCAAATATCTCTAGTTTATGAATATTTGAAACTATTATATTCTCATATATATCCATAATTATACCGTTGGGAGGATACAGAAATTCTTGCCTTACTACAACTCTCATAAAATTATCATTTACGTCAAACATTTGTATTCTGTTATTTCCAAATTCAGCAACAATCACATTACCTTCCTTAGTTAAAGTGACATCACATGGCTTATTCATACGACCCTCTTTTTTACCCTTAGAGCCTATCTTTTCTAGCAGTCTTCCATCATCAACATTGAATTTAAACACACAGTGAGCTTTAAAATCTGCTACATACAGCACTCTAGTTTTATTGTTTACTGTTAAGCCTCGTGGATCCTTCAATGTTCCTTTACCAAATGAGCGGATTTCTTGAAATTTATCATCACACATTGCAATACATTTTCCAACAGAAGTGTACACCAAGTGACCATCACACATAAAATGCATTCTTCCGTTCTTCATAACTTTTGTCACCTGTATCCTAGCAACAAATAAACCAGATTGGCTGAACTTATATATATATTTACGACTGCTTGATACTAAAATGTATCCATTTGTGTCTAACACTATGCCTGTCGCTGCAAATCCATCTGTGTATTTTGATATGTCAATGGTATAAGCAAGTCCCAGTGATTCCACCTTGATATTCACTGGAGATCCTTTTATCTCTGCACCTCCAACAGTGATTTTCATTTCCCAGTCACCTTCCACATTGCATCTACCAGGTATTTTGTACTCTCCACATCCTTGATGCTCTATCACAGTGGTAATCTCTTCTGATGAGTTCCTTAGTGTGGCAGATAATTGAAATACATCATTTTCTGCTTGACCTAATACTTTTACAACAAATTCTTGTCCCTTAGTGACAGTAATTGCTTCATCATCTTTAGCAACCTTGTACGTGTCAGCAACAGTTGTGACTTTACCAATGCCCTCAGTATCGATCAGCTCATCTATTTGTGTAGATATAATGATGTTTGGTATAATATTTCTTTCATGAAATGATTGACCCACATCAGCTTCTTGAGCCATGTCGTTGAGAGTCATCAAATGTTGCCAATAAGATTCACAAGTTTCTATTTCATGTTCATTTGTCACTGTATTGATATGGACCATCAGATCATTTGCTTTAGTCAACTTTGAATTAATATCTTCCACTTTATGATCAATGTCTTTTTTCTTTTCTTTGTGTATCTCTTCAAGTTTGGAGATTAATTCTTTGCTTTTCTTTTGAACTGTCATGATTAGTCTTTTTTGCTTAACTTCAACAGCTGATTCAAATTCTGACATATCATTATGGATAGATTCAAGTGTTCTTTTCAGATTGATTTTAATGCCCTCAGCTAGTCTGATAACTTCAGAAGCATTTTGGTTAAAATTATCTACAGCAGTCTTCATTTCAATCACATCATGTTTATTTTGATAACAACGAAGAACTTGATTACAATCCTGACATGCTGATTTGTTGCAAGTTGAGCAGTAAAATTCCAGTACATTGTTGAAATGAGTTGGACATTTGTGATTTTCATCTGTACATCCTTCTTCATTGCTTTCCAATATGTATAATTGATGGTTTTTCAGTGCTGGTATTATCTTGTGGTGTTTGGAACATTTCCCACAAAAGTAGAGTAAACATTCTGAACAGTGGTAGGTTGGTGGATTGTAACAGCTGGAACATGTACTTGATTTTTTTTCAGATTCGATCTTTTCCACATAATCAAGTAAATAGAGAATTTTTTCATTGGAAGTGAGTTTCTCCAAATCCTCTTTTTTGAGTTTGTGTTGCTGACCACATTTGAGACACCAGAATATTCCATGTCCTCCCACTAAACTTTCCAGACAGTGAAGACAGTAGCTATGGAGGCATTTGAGTGTTTTTGGCTCCACGAATCTCTTTAAGCAGATGGCGCATTCTAGATCTTTTTTATTCAAGAATTGTAATTCCTTGCCAGCAGACATCTGTAAAATAATT